GCTGCTGCTGCTACTACTACTGCTCCTCCTCCTCCTACTACTCCTCCTCCTCCTCCTACTACTACTACTACTACTACTACGACGACTACGACTACGACTACGACTACGACTACGACTACGACTCCGGCGACGACGACGACGACGACGACCATGCTACTTGACTTGGGTTTGAGGGTCTCAGGGTTGTAGGATGTTGTAGGGTTTTTTTGGGCTTTAAGGTTTAGGGCTTAGGACTAAAAGTTCGGGGCTTCAGAGCTTCAGGGTTTGTTTGGGGTCCTAGTCGTCTCGTCTTGGAGTTGAAGGGGTGCAGGGGTGTAGCGCACGGGAAAGAGGGGCTTGTAGTTGGTCTGGTGTCGCTGTACAGTAGACGAGTTTCGCCGTTTTCAGGATTTGGACTAGTTTCTTCTTTACAGAGGGACGTTTCAATCTTGGGTGTGGGGTCTGCTGATTATGGTCAGGGCATTGTCGTGTTAGTAGAATCAAGCCGGCCCCACTCTCGGAGACTGGAGCCCTCTGACCGCAGGTCATGGAGCCGCAAGCCTGGGGATACTACTCCTCGGGCGGCGATGACGAGATCACGCTTCGGGACAACCACCTGGTTCCTGGGACACGAACCCTAAACCCCTGAATCCTGTAACTGTTCCCTCGAAAACCACGGAATATTCTTATTTGTTAAGCCTCAGCAGAGCCCATCGTCACTTGGCAACTCTGGGCTGATACTCATACAAAACTGGCAGAGGGGCGTTCGGATGTGAAGGAATAGAGGGTTGAGGGTAGCGGGTGCAGAGATGGGGGTGTAGGACTCAGTGTAGGACCTAAGGTTACGAGAATGTAATTTTGGAGTATAGGGTCCAGGTTTTAGAGTTGACATTGGGCCGGACTTGAAGGAAATAGATTTCCGGTAAGAGGGCTTGCGATTAAGGTTTGAAGTTTAGAGTTGACATGTCTGAAGCCTAGCTGAAGGGCTATCAAGCGTCTCTGTGTGCCGAGACCCTGTGCTGACGATGCACGTGGCAGTTCATGATTCATGCTCGTAGCCGGGGAAGGGCACTCATAAAGATGTTAAGAAGCAGCATTACCATGGAAGTCTCAGGCTTTCCAGCGCATCACGATGCGCCCCCGGATCCTGGTGAATGTGCGGGACGTGTGCTCAGACAAGAGGGAAAGACACAGCTCTACCGGAGCGTCGAGTTGTTGGGTTCAGGTTCGGTAGTAACCTTTGGGGTTTCACAGTCTAGAGTCTACACAGAAGGTTTTTCCTTGTTTGTTTGAGGCTCACTCTTGCAGTGTGGGGATGCCGGGTTTCGAGTATCTTGGCGCATTGATGTTACTTACGGCGGCTCCATTTGATGCACAGTGGCCGGAAAAGCCTAAACTCCAAGCCCCAAACCCGCCCTCGAACCTCAACCTGGAAGCCTCAAGCCCCAACCCTGGCGCTGAGGAGATCGACATGACCACTCAGATCCTAGGCCCCTTGGCGCTTTGAGGTGTGGGTTTTGGGGTTGGGGGGTAGGGTTTTAGGGTTAAGTGTTTATGGCGCTAAGTTAGGCTTGTGAGATGTAGTATTTGGGATTTCGGGTTTATTAAGGCAACTTTGCGCATTCAATGTTGAAGGTTTGTAAGCCTTAGAGGTCAGCTCGGTGAATACACAGCTCACGGCTTGGAGCCCGGATGTAGGCTTCAGGTTTGCCAGTGAGAAAACACCCCACCGTGAATGAGGATGGTGGAGGGGGTTTTCGCAGACTTTGTTTTGAGTTTTCGGAGTTGTCTGAGGGGTCTCAAAGCCAGGAAGGTTCAGGAGTCAGTGATTACTGGCCGGCGCAGGGTGTAGTGACAGTGTAGTGTTTGGATTCAAGCTGTGGGATGTAGGTGAGCACGGCGGTACTCGCTTCTTCTCATGCAGAAACGCCCCACAGTGGCAGTGACAGCTGCAAATGTTCGGCCCAGAGCTCTACACCATGCCACGGGATGTCCCCCTACCGACAGACAGATGTATGACAATCCTAACCATGAGCCGTGAACCGCAAGCCTTGCAAAAGAGGCAACTGATGTCACATCCCATGTGACCAAGCCTGCCATACAGAGTGCAGGGCAGAAGACCGATCATGATGACATGCCACATAGATAGGATGTCCATGTCCTTCCGAGGTGTCCCGGCATCTGTGCCCCTGCAGCTGGGTCTGCATCAAGTCGACAACCTAAACCCTTAAACCCTTAAACCCTAAACCCTAAACCCTAACCCCTAAACCGTCATACTACAAATCTGGACTTCGGGCTTCGGCCTTGGGGATGTCCTAGGCGCAGGTTTTGCGTCTTCCACGTCCCAGCAGCTGAGAGCTCCGGCCCCAGCATCGGAAATCCGAAAGCCCCGGAAACATCCGGAAACCCTAAAGGCTTAATCTCTGAGCTGGAAGACTCCTGAGGGACCTGGGTTCTGGGCTTGAAGATCTTAGAAGCCCGTGTAGTTTGATAGCGCCGATAGAAGATGATAGAAGTTTATGTTTCTACAGACAACCTGAATCAGGATTAACTCTTTATTTGTTTCTCAGAGTGCTCGGGATCTCGCAGACATGGGGTGAATCGGCGGTTTGGGGCATCCGAGTGTTTAGTGTTTCGGAAGCGGGTTCGCGGGTTTGGAGCTGAATCCTAAACCCTGGTGGGCTTCGGATGTATTGGGGCTCTTCAAAATACTGGAGAACAGAGACAAACTGCTAGCCTTAAACTTACACCAGAGGCCCTGCAGAATGCCGAAAACCCACAGAAGGCCGATGCTCGATGGCTCAAAACCCCACCTCAAAACCCTCCGAAACCCTAAAAGGTACTTCACAGCCACGGCGCTGGCGAAGCTTGCTCACCAGGCACCGGGGCATCATTTTGACCATTGCAAGGTGTTCGTACTTGAGTCAATGGGGAGTCTTATTGAAAGTTTTAAGCGAGTCATGGATCCAGGGTTTGGGGGCTTTAGGATTCTGGAAGGTTAAGGGCTTGAAGCCTTGAGGTTCGATTTCTGGCAGAGGAAGCCTGTGCCTAAAAGCAGTCGTCAAGCCACGCAGCCCTCCTTATCCGTGAGCCATGCTCTCAAGCAGAGACCCACCTCTGGTTGTAGAATCTAAGAGATGAATTCAGAGCCTCGGATGCTCACCATCTCCTGAGCAGGATGGAGAGGTGGCGATCGTGAAGGCCGGGACGCTTCCCGATGCCTTTATGGGTTTCTTGGTCGTTCCTGTAGCAGGGCGGGAAGTGCAACCCGATATCCGACCATGAAGCGGAACTCTTATCCGCGCACAGGAGCAAATAAGTAATAGGAAGCTCTTGGTGTCTCCAATGGTCGGAGTATTCGTCCAGAACTGCCAACTTCCCTTGTCAGGCGGCCAAGAAGGCTGGCGTGCCCTACATGCAGCTCGGCCGTTCAAACCCCTGAGCCCGGAGCCCTCGCCGGCCTAGCCCTTGGTCGAAAGTACCGGGGAACGTGAGCTACGCTCCCTTCAACCCCGACCGCCTTAAGAAACACGAAAGAAATCCCTCAGCAACTGCACGGATCAGAAGAGCTGCAGAAAGCTCGGGGGGACGCCTAAACCCTCGACTCCGCTGAACGCTTCATTCCACCTACCCGTGCTCTTAAAACTATAAAACCAAACTGATGCGTAAACCCGAAAGCTGAAGCTTAACGCCAAGCGAATGGGCCCAATTCTCCAAGGCCTGGCTGACTGGGTCAACCAAATTGATTAAGTTAGGTTATGCTGCAGTTATGCTTCAGGTACAGCTAGTGCCAGAAGATGTGGTCGAGAGATATGACAGAAAGGAGGAATCTTGAACCCCAGCAAACGGCAAAACCCAAAAGCTGAAGTCCCAAACCTCCCAAGCCTAAACCGTTAACCTCAATTAGCCGCAATCACGAGGCCCAAGAATCAAAGCCTGAACTCTTCTGAAAACTCTAAGCTCCAAGAGACCCTCGCCCAGGCTTCCAACTCTCAGCTCTTACACTCTTGATGAGATGCTGGCGGCACGGACTGGGCTCTAGGATGAATCTCAGGTGTAGGTCCAGGGTTCGGAGCAATTACCCACATTCTGCAGGGTTTCTTATTAAACTTTTGAAGTATGATGTGCACCAAAACCCTTACACAAATTGAGTACGTCTAGGTTTAGGGCTAAGGAGCTGGTGACGGGAGGGGTTGAGCGTTGTGGGTTTTTGGGCTCTAGGTTTGGGCTTGAAGATTGATGCTTTAGCTTTTGTCACGGCGCGTCCGGCTAGAGGAGGACTTCTGGCCCCACCGCATTCGACTCAGGGATGTTCAGTTGTTTTCATTCTGCTTTTTACATACAAGCGGCTTTTCGCGTGTCGGCATCCCTGAAAGTGGATCATCTCTTTCATATCTGGGACAGGACCCCGGACCAGCAGGTGTTCTCCCAGCTGTACGTGAACCCAGAGCGCTCGAGGTGGGGACGGGGGGGTGTTGCAGGTCATTCCTGACAAGCCCTGCAACACAAGCTCTACAAGTCTGCCAATCCTAAACCCTTTAGTGCCTTGGGAATTGATGTAAAGCCGGGCATGACGGCTCATCTTTTGTCTCCAGAGGTCCGAGGAGTACGTCAAGAAGCTGGAGGACGCGGGTGTCAAGGTGCTCGTTTGAGCTGCGAAAGTCCTCTTTTTTGCTTGGAGCAAACCCTGAGATCGAAACAGTGGCCCTTCTTGCTACGTCTTGTCTGGTTTGATCATGCGGGTGCTTTCGCAGATTTTGTGGTCCTGTGGTGCAAGGCCCTTCCAGGAAACGCCCTCGCCCTCTCCCCTCGTCCCGTCATGGACTCACCACCACCCCCCATGTAAGCCTTACTGCAATCTCGGAGAAGCTGCAAGGCGCTCTTCGTCACTGTAGACGCACCCCAGCTCGGCCGCCGTGAGAAGGACATGAGGCCGGCCAGGAGTAGAGCGCGTTTTTGTCAGGGATACTGGGTTAGTGTGTGGGGGGGTTGGGGTTTTGCGTTGGGTTCGGAGGGTTTGTAGGGTCGAGTCTTTGGGGCCGAAGCAGGAAAGCCTGAAAGGCCCAAAGCTTTGCAGGTATGACACCCCAAGCCTCGATGTTGGAATGCACTGAACGTTCCGGAGGCCTGTTCAAACGCCCCCTGGACTCTTGAAGGTGGGGCTTCAGTCCCTCGAGGACCCCTTAGCCTTCTTGAGAAAGGCGTTGAAGCAAACCCAGACATAGCATGCAGGAACAAGTTCACCCAGCAGGGCTCGGATGTCCAGGGCGACGATGAGGACGAGGGTGCTCCCGCTTTTGTGAAAGCTCGAGATCATGCCTGGCTCTGGTAGCAACCAGGACATCCATTGAACATGATTGCACCATCGTCCTGATCACGGCCATAATCACATGGTAGTGACTTGCCAGTGCTGACGATGTCGTTCATGATCATGAGCGTTGTAGGAATAAGAAGAGTCGTCATCACCATCGTCATCAGTCAGTTGCAGTCATGATCCTGCTCCTGGTGACTGCTGGCCTAATCCGAGGCTTTAGGTTCACCGTGTTGCAACAACCTTTGTAACCCGGGGCTTAAGCTCAGGGCCCAGATGCCCACTGACTCCAACACTGGCGGTTTGGAAAATCCCTGAGCCAAAACATCCTGCGCATACCCTGCAGTCTGTTGTAAGAGCACTCGCAAACCTTGGAACCGCAAGAGCGCTAATCTTTACTTTGCATCATCGTCATCCTCTCGTCGAAGGGTAGATCCTGACCGCCGCTCCGACCTTCCTAAATCTTGAGTGCGGAAATGGACGTTTCAGATCATAAAGGTCCCGAATGTAGGGTCCGATTTGTACGAACCTTAACATAAGGACCCTAACATATATTGCTGAAACCCTCGTAAAGCCAATTCCAGCGCAGGTGCTGTGGACCGTTCCCAGGGTGCTACCCGCGCCATCAGCAGCAACTCTGCGCAACTGTGAGTGTTGGGCTTGGGTGTTTATTGGGTCTTCAGGGTACATGGCGATTCCGATCGCTCGGCCTGGGGCATCGGGTTGAGGGGTTTAGGCCCCGAGAATTCGAACCCTGAGCCCCAGGCTACATCGACCCTGGCCTCAACTGGGAGGAGCTGCGGCTTCGACCATCAGATCGGCAGCTTTTGATGGGGTCCTTGAAGGTTCAGGATGGTTTGGATTTGGAAGATCAGTAGCGCTTAGTCCAAAGATCGTGAGGGTTCAGGCCGCAGTTTTGGACCTTTCGGGGGCTAGGGCGCAGTGGGGGGCCCCAAAGTGCAGCCCGAGGCCCGAGCCCCCGAAAGATGTCAGGACGTGCCGTGGCTCAAAAGCATCACGAAGATGAAGGTCGGACGTGCAATCTGGGCAATGTAGTGTTCAGAGTTAGGTTTGAACGTTGAGGGTTTAGGATTCCCGAACGTGAGCTTGGATCCAAACTGTGCGGCCTTTCGGCTGTCTTGCCAACCCTTCCATGGGAAAGCAGGTCATTTTGGTCTTGGTTGTTGTGTTTATGTGGGTCTTCTTCATGATATTTTTTGTTTTGTTTTTCTTTTTGTCTGTGTGTCACAATAGTACGTGTACTAGTAGTAGTAGTAGTAGTAGTAGTAGTGGTAGAAGTCGTCATGGTAGTGGTGGTAGTAGTAGTAGTAGTAGCAGCAGCAGCAGCAGCAGCAGCAACAGCAATAGTAATAGCAGCACTAGTCTGCACCGCTTCTAGTCCCTGGTCCTCTGGCCTCTGGTCCGCTGGTCCTGCAGGTCCCCAACCCCTCCGGTCTCTTTTTTAGCCTTGCTGCGGGTCGCCCGGCGGGCCACAGGCTGCTGCTTGTGAAAAGTTGTGGGCGGATTAGAAAATGAGATCTATGATGAACCGGAATCGCCAAATGAGGGGGCGTGCTTAGGACATATGATGAGAGGCGTGTTTAAGATATGTGATGAACCTCGGTCGCCACATGAGGGGGCGTGGTTAGGATATATGATGAACCTGAATCGCCCAAGAGGGGGAGGGGGTGTGTTTAAGATATGTGATGATGAACTGGAATCACCACATGAGGGGGCATGTTTAAGCTACATTATGATGAGCCGGAATCGCCACATGGAAGGGCGTGTTTAAGAAGAACGATGACCCGGAATCGCCAAATGAGGGGCATGTTTAAGAACGTATGATGGGTTGGAATCGACAAATGCGACAATTGATTTGGCGTGTTTAAGATATATGCTCAACAACAACAGCAACAACAACACAATCTATCTGGAGTGTCTGTTAAGTACGCGCCTCTGTGTGTGTGCACACGGAATGCAAAGTCATGTTTGCCCTCTCTCGTTTCTATATAAGTTTTCGCACAAACCATGCTGGTTCGCGTAAGACCTCCCCGGGCATGCATCAAGACTCCATCGACAATCCTTCACACATAACACGCTCCCTGTCAGTGTGTACGCTGCTTTGTCAGCCCCCCGCCCAGCTTGTTTAAACCGCCGTGCAAGCTCGTTTCAAAATGACAGCCTGCCAGCAAAACCAGTGCGCATATGGATCCTTTCAAACCCCTGAAGAAGACAACGACCAACCAAGACGAAAATGCACAGGCCAACACGGAAAAAAATACCAAATTAACATTCGCTCCCCCTACACACGTCTAACTCACAGCTCGTGTTCGCGACTCAAGAGCCCGAAGCTTCTTCAGCTTCGTGAGCGGCGAAGGACGCATACACAGAGCCTGGCCAAAACTAGCAACTTGGTACCAGGCCTTGTGACCCCCCGGGCACCTCCACACGGAGTGGTTCTAAATGTACAGGCCCAAAACCCGGTGGCTTTTCTTGGCACAACCAAAAGACTGGCGCAGTCCTGGCTGTTTCCCGAGTTGGGACGAGCCGTCAATGATTCCTGGCTCCGGCCTCATTTCCTTGCCCTTGCACAACGACTTCCCGCATTTCACCTTGACGACCCACTTGCTCCTATTGTGTACAGTTTGTGTCATGTCCGCCGCCAGAATTCCTTCACCCCAAGACCATATTCAAGCGAGGCGTGTTTCGCTTCCTTACGTTCCCGTGACCCAAGACAGCCTGACCAAAACCCAACGTTACTGTCGACGTTCATCCCCCATGACTTGTGTTCTGCGGAAGGCCATCGCTGATTCTCCAGCTGGGATGCCAGGAGAACTTAACAAACTGAATCATCAGATTTCTGGAACTGAGGTAGTCTTCCGCAAAGTATGACGTAAGCACATCCTGAACCCTGAACCCCTACGGGCGGTCAAATGCCGGCAGCGCTTGTGGAAGAGGTGCTGCTGAAGGGCGTGCAGTGCGCCGAGGATGCCGTGTCCGCTTACAAGGCACGTTCGGGTCATCGAAACCACTCTGATTTCTCTTAGATTGCAGTCATGCAGGAACATCTGTACATGGTACCATGATTCCTGCATGGCCGTTGCATCATCTTCAAGTCGTTAGCCCAGTCCAGACCTCAAAACCCATCTCAATCGCTAAACCCTAAGCCCAAACCCTAAAAGCCTCAAGCTCAAACCGTAAACCCCAATTCCCAGTCCGGTCTCATGCCAAGGCTGGTTTGTCAGGCTGCGTGTTGTCCAACCACGGCGGCAGGCGAGCTTCTAGGACTTATGGTGTTTCTGTTGCAATAATATCAGAGTTATCATGAGGGTCAGTATGCAGGAACGCGTGATGATGATGATGATGATGATGGTGGCGGTGGTGATGAAGATGATGACGCTGGCGGTGGCGGTGGTGGTGGTGGTGGTGGTGGTGGTGACGATGATGACGACGACGGTGCGGCTAGTCATCAATACTGTTTACAATGTAGCTGTAGCGGCAGCCATCCAAAATGATGGGACTTTCCTGAAAACGAATATTGCTAGCATTGCTACTATAATTAGTTTGGTTGGGGGTGTCCTTCGACCAAGGCACCCACAGGATTCAGATAGCCGTTTTTTTGGGGGATTATTCGTCAACCCCAATTCGTTAAGTTGTCTGAAGACCGATTGGAGGTTCGGGGGCCTAGGGTGTCGGGTCAAGGGTCTGGGATTGAGGGTTTCCGGTGTTGGGCATGGGGTTTTCTAGTCTGGGGTTCAGGATTCCGGTGTTGATGTTTCGACATCAACTGTACGGCCGCAACCAGTTTTTCCTTTGCGAACAGGCTGACGTGAATTTTGAACGTCTCCAATTCGGAGAGGCATCTTCTTGACCCGTCGGATGTTGTAGAGGTGATGTGCTCGAGTCCTGACGCAAGTATCTACGAGTCTCTTAACCGCCATAGATTTTGTGGCAGACAGTTGTTGTCCCAAGCCGCCGCAAGTACCTCCTCACCCCAAGCCCTTGCAACAGAGCCGTCAGCAGACTCTGACAACACGCAAGACCGATGTGTGAAGGGCCTAGTTTCTTTGATAAGGCCGTCGTAGGGTTCGAATGGAGGTTGTAGTTTCGTGGCTGAGAGAACTACTGACCACAGTAAGGGCGGTTTGAGATTCGTTTCTGTTCCTGGGCGCGAGCTGCACCTTTTGCCCTTCTCACCTTTCAAGTCTGTGGGTCTGACAATCACCCAAGACCTCGCCGCCACCTTCCATCGCTAAAAACCCCGAAGCCCCAGACTCCAACACAGAAAAATCGAGTTCACTAGCTTCCACCTGCGAGGCAGTTGGACACCTGCCGCCCGGGCATTGAGGCTCCTTCTTCACAAGTAGACCTTAAAGTGTTTTGTTGAGTCCTTTAGTGCTGTTGCCGATTCTGTGGGCCTCCGTAGGGCTCTGTGGATCACGTGTGGTCGGAGTTGAGTGAATTGCATAAACATGCATATGGCATAGGCAGCGGTCCGGTTCGGAGGCAGGGGATCCTAAGGCCCGAAAGCAGCCTCCAGCCCCAACCCAGGCATCCATCACAAAACATCCACAAAACCCCCAAAATTCTCAGCATTTACGACGCCAGCCCTCTGGCTCGTCTTGCTTCTCGTTTTTTTTTGTATTTGAGGTGCTCCCCGAGGTCATGGAGGGCCTCAGAGAGGCTGGCGCCACCAAGGAGAGACCTCGGCATCCAGTGGTTGAGTCGCTGCTGCTGTTGCGGCCGCCTGTTGCCGCTGCGGGTGCCGAGGATGCTGATGGTGATGATGATGAAGACGATGATGATGATGGTGGCGGTGGTGGTGAAGATGAAGATGATGACGACGACGATTTTGATAGCTGCTGTGTACACAAGAGCACCAAAGATACCACCATACACATCAATATAGCTCATCGGTTAAACTTGGCAAAAATATAAGACTAGGCAAGTACATAAATAGTCAACGGACAGATAAACATGGATCAGATGAGAAAGAGAGAGGGAGAGAGAGAGAGAGAGAGAGATTGTGCAGCCTCGCTTCTCCACGCCCCTCCAAAACGGTTGGGGGCGCGACAGCGCGGGCTAGGGGAGTTCCCCTAGTCCACAACCCTGACGAAAGAAAGAGAGACTAATAGATAGATTGTTAGTTAGATAGGTAGGTAGATAGTTACTATTGGATGGATGGGTAGATATTTAGATAGATAGTCAGCTAGTCAGTTAGATACAGAGTAGATAGTTAAAAAGAATAGATCGATAGATAGATGGATCGATAGCTGGCTAGATGGATAGATCGACGGATAGGTGTCTACTCATCAACCTACCAATCGATCAATCAATCACGCAGTCAGTCAGTCAGTCAGTCAAGCAACCTATCTATCTATCCATCTATCTGTCTAACTAACTATGCGTCCATCTATCTATCTATCCATCCATCCATCCATCCATAAAGACCATAAAAGCCTTCCTACCCAGTCACAAATCCATCAATCCATCGATCTATCTGGCTAGTTATCTCTCTGTCTGTGTGTGTGTGCATATACATATAGGTATGATGTGAGTGTATCTAAATAAACACACAGATAAAAAATATAAATATAAATATAAATATAAATAAATAAATATATATATATACACATGTAGGTTTAAACTTATTTATGAACGCACAGAAAAACCAGGACTTTGAACGTGAATATACAAAAAACTAAGTGTTGGTACAAATACAAACGTAAACACAAATGTAAATACAATTAGGATGCAAAATCAACGTGCAAATGCATAAACAAGTATGGCATACATACATGCGTGCATGCATGCATGCATACATACATACATACACACATACAAACATACACTCATACATACATACATACTTACATAC